AAAAATATGATTTTCTTGTGGAGTGTTCAAGCATGGAGTCGGGAAAGATCATGGAGCAAATCTGCAACAGCACTAAAAGATCACAAGGACTTCAGTTTCCATAAGGATGCAAGTACTCTAAAGATTGAGAAATAAAATATAAAGTTTACAACAATTAATGCTCAAATTGACCAAATGTACACGGAGAAGCAAGTAGTTTGAAGAAAAGGCTTGCTATCTCATTTCGGAACATTGAAAACACTGCTTCGACAGGTTGTAGCTATAAGAGGTGATAATGATGAAGAATCCAATGTTTACCAGTGTCCAGTTTACCAGAATCCAATGTTTACCAATTTGGATAAGAGTAAAAGTAACAAGGCATTATAAATGTTGATGATTGAAAACCATTATGTTTTATCTCATGACATCTTGCAAGAGCAAGAACAACTTCTCAACTTAGAAGCACGAAGGCAGATTGTTAAACTGATCAAATTTCTGATAAACTGAAAAAACTGATAAACATTTCTATTCGGTACTTTCAGATGAATCCTCAGATATTACTAAGAAGGAACAATGTCGTTTAATATAAAAACTTGCTGTGACAACTATGAAGTGAGTAATTATTTTATTGGAGTATATGAAAACGTCAACAGTCTTTTTTCAGATGCCTTGGTGACATATATTGAAGTGTAACTTGGAATTGGCTCTGATGGAGCATCAGTTATGAAATGCTTGGCATCAAAACTGAAAAATATTTTTGAACAGCAAGCACAATATTTTCATTGCATGGCACAATGCAGCGAGCTGATTGTTAAGGATACATATGCAATATCATTACTACTGCCAGATTCTCTCAGCATTGTCCAGTCAATTTTTGCAGTTGTTGGGGTATATCCAAATCGTGTTGCCTTTTTTTAACAAGTTAAAAAGGATATATTGGATGAGTCTGAATCAGATGAGTACAGAATAATGCGAATGATGTCTATGTCAATGACTCCATGGGCAACACGAACAAAAGCAGCTCAAGTGGTGTTGGAGAAGATTGGAGAAATTCGTTCAATATTGAAAACTCTTCAGAGTGAAAAGATTATTGCTGCAGAAACAAGAGCAAAAATTAAATGTTTTTTATCTCAGCTTTCATCAGTAAAGACACTTTTTGAACTGCAAAGCAATTTAGAATTTTTTATTATTCTAGAGAATTTATCAAAATAGTTACAAGAAATTAGTCTGACAGGTGATGTCGTAGTATTCTGCATTCAAAATGCGTCTCAGTGATTTGCAGAACTTAGATCAGATAAGATATCTGGAATCAAGCAAAGCAATCAGTCTGAAACCGAATTTACGCAGAGACAAAGAGTAATACCTAAAGCATTACGCGATTCAATAATTACTGAGAAGCTTACATTGGGCGGTGCAATGATTGGTCCTGCCAAACCAGAGCAAAAACAAAGGAAATCTTATTTCGAAGCAATTAATGCTATTCAGAACAGTTTGAGTAAATGATTTTAACAGGATTTGAATTTCATTGGTGAATAAACAAGATTCCCCACTGTTTTTATTTGGAATGCCTTTTTTAATGATGTTGACATCTTGGAACTAAAAGTTGAGTTGAAGGGGCTACCAACAATCATTTACCTGTACAATACTATTGCATCAATTAAAATACAGAGTGTTTCCAGAGTGGCAAAGAAGCTTTAGTGTTATGAGGAGAGTAAAAACATGGGTTAGGTCACAAACTGGAGGCCATCACCTGAACAACACCATCTTTGATACACACAAAAAAAATTGACAAAATTAACATTAAAAAAATTGTCAAACAATTCATTAAAATGAATGACAATAGAATGAATTATTTCGGCAAACACACTTGAAATTGTTCTAGCACCTTATAAAGCTAAGAAAGACATAGGATGAAATGTACTATTGACATCTAGAAATGAGCTAAGAAAGAGTTGATTTATTTAGTAGACTGTTTAATAGCATGCTTCAACCTTCAGTGTTAATTGCACTGTACACGCGATTCGTAATACTAAAAGTAGTAGACTGTAGGGTTAATTAATAGGTTTATTTATGTTAGATATTATATATATTAAAATATTGTGTTGATATTGTGGCAAGTGCCATTGTGTTTTGGTTTGGCACCCCTGCCTTTAGGCCCTTACGGCGTGTCTGGTAACTATTACCACTAGATTCATTTAAAGTTTTATTTATGGTATCCTTTATTAGAAGGAATCGTTTGAACATGACTGTCAATGAATTCCACCAAGTTTTGACATCTAAAATCAGCTCTAATGTCTTGCCTGCTTGTTTATAAAAATATCCTTGAAAAAATTTAATTTTTACAACTCTTTTTAGGTTTTTTTATGACTACATGAAAATCTATAATAAGATTTATGATTTTGATGTTATTTTCTAGCTAGCAGCTACTGTATGGATCTCCAAAATTATTTGTATTCAACTAGTCGGTATTATTTCAACAGATAGTGGTTCCTCTTTGTAACTTAAAGCTTACAAAGTGTAACAACAAAAGGTCGTTTAAAAAAGTGTGAAATAATAAACTAACATTTAACAAAATAAAAATAAATTTTTACTTTATGTAAATGTAATGAAATTATTTAAAAGTTTGTTATTTTAAATAACTATATTGCTAAACTTTCTATCTTGTCATTATCAAACGATAAACGAGTCTTTTAATATATTATAATGATAATAATTTAATATATATTTAATGATTATCATTTAATGACTCGTTTATCGTTTACAGTTCCATTTTGTCGCCGTTTACGCAAAAAAAAAAAAAACACACACACACACAATAATTTGTTTCATCAAAAAGTATTTGGATTGTTAGAATAGTTAAAATTAGGCGAGTTATTTTGATAATCAGATATTCGGAAACTCTACGACCGATACATGAAAAAATCATTTTGAGCAAATTTGCGAAACGATTAATTACGAAATAAATATGCAAAAGAGCTGAAATTTTGATATTTTGTTCTTCATAGTAATAAAATTAATTTTAGTGAAGGTTTTTTTTCAACGCTGTTTAGTTCCTAAAATTTTATCATATCAATCTTGTTTGACTTACCTAATTTTTTACAGTTAATTAATTTTTTATGCGCTATTTATAGAAATATTTTTTAATTCTCATTTATTTCCTCTCAAATAAATTTTGTTAATATATTAAACATATGATTCAAATTTCATGTTAAAATGACTGGCATATTTTAAGTAATTAATTCACAAAAATTTGGTTACTTTTACTTTTTAATTGGGTAATCAAGGCAAAGATTTAAAGTAAGAAATTTTTTTTATTATTATTTTAATGATGTATAAATGTTTTATAAATGTAACTTTACTATAGTTTCAATTATTTCTTGAGGTACCAAGAAATGATTGAAAGAACGATTTTACATATAAAACTAGCAATATTGCTAACATATATGCTTGTCTGGCTAAGGGCTAGAACTTTAGAATTTGTCTGGCTGATGAGTAAACATCTTTTAATAGTTATCCAAGTAACATGTATAAATTTCCACTTTTATACTATAACGTAACAACTTTTTGAAGTTTAAGGGTGTCTGGTTGCCACCATGATTAGTGTCTAGCAATGAATAGTATGATTTTTAACACTACTCAAAAAAAAAAATTATAAGAAAACTACGCCTTAATTCGGATTGATTTTAGCCGAAATTTTTAAACACAATTGGTATCTATTACCAGCCAAGACCACTATGCTCTAAAATACAAAGTTGAAGATTGTTCTTACTTGTATTACAAGCATGCGCTGAGAAATTTTCAGCTTTTGTAACATAATGTTGGTCTGGCGGCCGCGGGCAGTTAGAGTATTAAGGCAAATAGTGGGTTAGATCGATAAATAAAATCATTTACAAGAACAAAAGTATTATACAGTTTTTGTACTCTACCTTTTTAAGACCTGTTCTTAAATTTGCGGCACCGATGTGAAATCTTTGTAATAAAAAGAATAATTAAAAGTTAGAAAGTGTATAACAACGCGCAACTAAATTGATTCCAAAATTAAGACATTTACCAGATGAAGCAAGATTTAAATACAACCTTAAAAACCAGATGAATAAAAGGTGATTTAATTCAATATTATAAAATTTTGGTAAATCTTAGTATCAAAAACCAAAAATTTATTTTAAAATAAGTTTTTTCATTATTTCTTACTACATTTAAATATTTGCATACATTAATTGAAACAATAAATAAACTTCCCACAATATTACATATGTAATCCAAAAATTGATTTGAGCATAAACTTACAACTATTTTATTAATGCAACTTTTGTTAAAATGATAAACACATCAAAAGCGAACAACAGTAACGATAGGGAAGAATGGGTAGAAGTGGTACTCGAGAGAATTAGGATATTCCGGAAATTTCAATTAGGAGAGGTCTCTAATCAATATTATCTGATGTGATAAATGAGATTTTTTCCGTTCTATTTAAGAGACATCGTTTTTCTCACTGCGTGCGGAAAAAACCATATTTTTTAAAAGTACCCTCTAAAAAACAATTTTTTGTGGGGTGAAGTAGGACAAAAAAAATTAATTGATCTCCCATTTCTCTCATATTACTTTTGCTTAATTATAATGTTGAATCCTCATAAAGTAGTTTGATGAGGTTTACGTGGTTTACGATTATAATAGTTTTTAAATAATAATTTTTGTTAATATATTTTGTTAATTAGTCGGTTGTCCCACTTCACCTCATACCAGTACCACTAAACTCCAATAGCATGGTTCTCTAAAATCAAAAATAATTATACTTTATGATAACCTGCTGTCAATCTCAAAGGGATGGAATCAATGCCTGCAATGATGCTTTATTTGCTAAAACTTGTTTAGTGCAGTACATATATTAAATAAATAAAATATTAAATTACTCTGGAAATTTTTTTTATTTCCCACTTCTCTCCATTTTCTCCTAAGTATTGGATTGTAAAGTTTACAGTAATGGATTTATTAAAATTTCAAAAAACTGAAACTATTAATACCTTCCGTAAAATCTTTAGGACAGCTTTCTCCATATTTATAAATGCAATATTGACCATCGGGCCATTTAGTATCTACTTCTTCAAATAAGCTTTCTTCTTTAAGGCAGAATTCTTGTCGAACACCATGTTCGTTTACTGTACCTGATAAATGTAACGACACAGAGTGTTTATTGTTACTATTGTTATCTTCAGTGTCATGATAACGTAATCCTTCTTTCCAAAATTGTGGACACCCACTAACAGGTCGTGGTAGTCCATAACTACCGGACGGCCACTTCATAATACCTAAAAACAACTAACGCAGGTCAAACAAAAGTTGTCAATAATGTTTTTTTTTTTAATGTAACTTCGTTACATTTCACAATATTTATTCAAAGAAAAAAGAAATTGTTGTCAAAAACATTAATTAATAAAAATAGCAGATAAAAGTAAGTAAAAAATAAATTTAATTTTCTTTGATGATTGAAATAAAATGTTTGTATTGTAAACTATTTAAAAAGCATTTAAGACGTGACCCTGTAATATATTAACATCAAAAGTAAGTAGTTATGATATAAAACTTTTAAGTACAGAATCTTGTTGAACAGAACCTAACACATTAAACCAATATGATTTTTTTGTCGCCAAAGTTTTGTGTGCAGAGGAAGATAATTTTTGTACAACCTTTATACCCTTTTCTCAAACAAAAACTGAAATTGGTTTCTAATTTGTGGCTGTTATTTGGTGTAATCTTATATTGTAATTGTTCAAAAATCCTCTATCAGATGAACTTTTTAGCACGTCAACTTTTTAGCATGTTGTGTTTATGCCTTAAATTAATATTATTGTCTTATATGCTTGTAGTTGTCACTAGTCTAATGTGATCATAGCAGGCCAAAGTTTTTTATTTTATGTTTTTAACAGTCGCTACTTTAAAAGTTACAAATTAAATCATATAAAGGTTTATTCTAGCTTTTTACCTCTTCTAACATATTACCCTTGACCATAAGTATTTTTAAAGTGAAGCGTATGTGTAAATGGTATAAATAGTCAAAGATCTTCAGTAAGGAAAAGTGAAGTTTTGTTTCTTATTGTTGATTTCCGTCTGGAAAAGTTTTACTTTTCGCGGAGGAAAAGTGAATCAGATAAAAAAATATAGTTAGGAAAAAAACGGCTGAAAACGCCAGAAGTAAATATTTTTTTCAGATTTGAATATTTGTCAGATCTGTATAATTAATTGCATGATATGATGTCAGCATAAGCAAGAAGTTCGAAGTTCGCAAGAAGTTCGGAGAAGTTCGCAAGAAGTTCGGAGTATTCGCTAACATATTTATGTCAATTTAAAATCCTAAAGGCTTAAGAAATACATTATTAATACAAAAAATATAATTTTGAAGCAAATTGATTAAACGAATATAGATTTGAAGCAAACTGATAAAACAAATAAAATGGAAATGTTTTAACGTTAAGTAAAAGACTTAGGCTTGATTGAGGCTCGTTATTTCAAGAAATGCTCGTTTGTTCAAAAGTACTAATCTTATGCAGGTAATTTGTCTCCTACGGATTAATTATCTTTTCTCTATATATAATAAAACAAAAAAAAATTTAAGAAATAACCTTCTATATTCCAAAGTTGAGCAAAAATCCATAGACTGACAGTCCCTAAATAAGCTAAATTATTACGCATCCTTCGCGTGGTATCATAATTGTTTAAAATATCAATTTACGAATAAAAGAGCGATTAGTTTTGAAATAAATTGGTAATCAATGTTTAAATCAGTTATTAAAAAATAGAGCTGCAATTAGTTTTATGAGCTGATTTTCAATTTGCAATGCGCACCGTATTAATTTTCAAAAAAACATTAGTGCGTGTAACTTTAGCAAAATTAACAGAGATCCTAGACGCACGTTATGCATATTTACGCCAAAAAAAAAAAAAAAAAAAAAAAGTTTATACTTACGTTTGAGAAATATTTTTCGTTACAAAAGATATAAATTTTTTATTTTACCAAGTTCACAGAATTGAATGTATATAAAAAAAAAAAGATAAAAAAATGGACTTAATTGTTTACATGTGAGTAGTAAAGTTCGTTTAGTGTATATAGTAAATCAATGCCGTTAAAACATAAAACAATTGAAGACAAATGTAATCCTCGAAATAAATGTAAAGTCAACTAAAAATTGTTAATTTTTATAAAATAATATTTAATGAGAAGCAATGGCCGAACAAGATATAAGTAGTTTTAAAAAACACTTAATGGTTTGGACCATGCTTTGCACGACAGCGGGGCTTTTGTTTTGGATTTTTAAAAAGATTATGTCTAAAAGAGAGGAATATTTAAAGCAAGAAGAAGCTGCTAAACAAAAGCGTCACGCAAACCTTGCTATTATGGAAGAGCAAGAAAAAATAAAAACAAACGACGAAAAACCATCAAATAAAACCGACATGCAAAATGATACAATACAATACACTCAATACCAAGAGTTCCTACCTGATAACTTATGGAAAAAATTTTCTTTAACAAGTGAAAGTAGGGAAATTCAGAAGTATGACTTATCTTTTGAAAGCAATCCGGCACAAGTTGAAGTTTTAATTTATTACCAATCTTTTGTAAAGTTGTTTCGTATTGTAATACTAACGGTAAAAAACCTTGAAAAATTTATAACTAACGATAGTAACAAGATAAGAGTCAAAGTCATCCTCCGACGCTCAAACGAAACAAAATACTCAGAGTCATCACAGTTATATCCAATAGCAGAGACGGTCCCAATTAAAGAAAATTTTTCAGTTCAAATGGATACTTTAGATTTTTACGGATGTGTACTATACATAACTGTTTGGAGTATTGATGTTTTTTACAGAGAACTACTTTTAGGTGCTATATCAATTGACTTGAATTCCTATAATCACAATTTAAAGAAAAACTTTTATGGAGATGTTCTCCCTGTTAAGAAGGTAATCTAAAAAAGATTTTTATTTGTTATGGTAATGTTCTTTCTGTTAAGAAGGTAATCTAAAAAAGACTTTAATTTGTTTTGGAGATGTTCTCCCTGTTAAGAAGGTAATTTAAAATAATTTTAATTTCTTATTTATAAATTATACAAACGATTGAGTTTAACAAAAACAAACTCAATTTAATACTTAAGTAAAAAAAAAAAATCCTTGCGAAATACTTTTAAAAACAAGAGCAGGTTACGGTTGCTTAATACCCCGTTAAATATTACTCAGAGTTGTTCCGAACAAAAGTAGTCAATCCTACAGTTTTTAGTTTTAGTTAATAGTTTATTTTTCAAGACGTTATTCTGATTAAACAATACTTGAGTTATTTTCTTATTTACTACTTGGGTTTTAGGACACAAAAGTTTACGGTCACTTACTTGTTTCTCTTTGTCATATACCTTCAACTGAGCGACTAACATGCGTTGTTATCAGTGGGAAAAATTTTACTGGAGACGCGAACAGCGCTTCAATTCTTAACAAGGCAATCAGTAAGTTTTTTCAAATAAATAAATTTGTTTTCTAGTTAATCCTTTGTAACTAAAAGATATTATACTTCCTGTAAACTTTTGTTATTAATGATCTGTTTTTAATTGAGACCGTTATCAATAGTAATTGTTAATGACCTGCAACATTCACTTTTTTGTTAAGCTTCCCAGTCAATACAAGATGTATTTTACACGTCTATAAAACTTTTTGACACTTTTTAAAATGTCTTGAACATGTTTTAATGCTTCCTCACCTAAAAAAATTAAAACTTTAATGAAAATAGACTGATGTTCCGCTTAACAGAGAGATGTGAATGCGGTCGCTCGTCGTTAATTTGGCCTTTTGGTTTTTTAACTATAAACGTAAAAGTTAGCCTTTTGGTTTTTTGAGAATAAACAGTATTATATTTTTTTGAAAAATAATTAGACTGTAAAATTAATAAATTTAAAATTTCTTTTTTTAAAATTTATATATATTATTAATAATGATAATAATAAAATGATAAATCTTTCATTATTTATAAGATTTCAAAATTTTCGATGGTCAATAGACATGGACTGATAGATGTGATTATAAACAGTAATGGTTTGTTACAGTAAAATTTAAATGAATTTAAAACTATTTAAAGTTATTTTAATGTTTTAGATCCCTATCTTGACATATCTCTTTTAAATGATGGAAAGTTAATAAAAAATCACACAACATCCGTCTCAAAAGAAACACGTGATCCTGTTTTTAACGAAATGATTGAGTTTTATGTCCCACAAAGTCAGGTTACTTTATCAGATATTCTTATCATGGTTTTTTATAAAGATGACAAAAATTTTAATGAAACAATAGGTAAAATTTTGATAGGAAGTCATGCCCAAGAAGATGGGTACAAACATTGGAACAAAACATTAGAGAATCCGGAACAATCTTTTGCTAGGTGGCACGCTATAAAAAAATAGTTCTCATTGATTTTGATATGAACATAAGGTTTTAAAATAAAAACAAAACTTGATATTTTTGTAAAATCTTTTTTTTTACTAGATATTTTATATGTAAAAAATTTACTTTGATTACAAATTTTTCAGTTTTTTATTTAATTTTTTTGTTATCCTTTTTTTATTTAAGAACGAATAGATAATTAGAAAAATAGTTTGCAGGTTTTGTTATAAGTTAACAATGTCATTCTGCGAGAAAATAAATGTTTATTTCAAACAATGATTTATCAAGTATAACTAGATTTGAGGGCTCAAGATATCAAGAGGTCTAAGTAACAAAATCAACATTTTGAGAAAACTCAAAACAAATTGAAAAAATCTTTGTAAAAGGTAAAATTGCATAATTTTGATAGCACATCGAAGAACAATCAAGTTTTTTTGACGGCACATCAGAAGAATAATTAAGGCTAGTATTCTAAGTTTGAACTTTAGGATTTAACATTTTTGAAATTAACTTTTTTTTTTTTTTGAAAAGTCCTATTTTGAAAAGTAGCTCTGACCATTTTTTGACCTCTGGGGTTTTCATATTTAACTCAATGGAAAACTAGGATCAGATTGTTAACTGCAAAAATACTTACACAAATTCTAAAAAAAAAAAATTATTATCATTATATATATTTACTTTTTTGGTAACAGCTGGATACGTAGCCGTTAAATAAGAGATTTAAACACAAAAAATCTTAAATATATAATCTTTCTTCCGCTCCTGGAGACTCTAAGTTTAAATTAACAGAGCAGTTCCTTAATTTTCAGTAGCTATTGCCCACCTACAATAAATCGTCTCTGACCAATTTTAATTAGAAGTTCAAATTTTTTATGAGATACCCCAACATCAAGATCTCCATATAAGTTGTAAATAAGTTTATAAAACGAAAAATATACTAACAATACAAAATATCTATTTGAAAAATTATGTTGCAAATGAAAGGGGTTTGAAGAGAAGACTGCAGTCTTCTACGTGCTCCTGTCATTACCTTAGTTTTTAATATTATTTATAAATGTATGCATTTTTACACACACACACATATATATATATATATATATATATATATATATATATATATATATATATATATATATATATATATATATATATATATATATATATATATATATATATATATATAGAATATTATTATTTTCTTACTAGGTAGCTGTATAATCTATTAAACATAATACATTCAAGCTTTAAAAAGCAAGGTAGTATGTATATAGGCCTATAGTTGGATGCAAAAGAGTACACATCATTTTTATATATAGGAAACACTCATAGTATTTTTAATTTATCCAAAAAAAAAAACAGTGTTTAAGGATAAATTGAATATTATTAAAATAGATGATTCAATAATATCAAATACTTATTTAGAAAAATTGCATTAAGTTCATCGATGCCTGGACATTTATTAATTTTTAGTGAATTTAAGGCTGTTCAAAGTTCATCCGAGGACATTTCAAACGTATTCATAACTAACTGCGCTTTTTTCAAAAAAGACTTTGTTTCCTTAATTTATATATCATCCAGACTATATTTTAAAAATCTAAAAAATTGTTTGGGTAAAATATCCGGAAAAAATCTGAAATATATTTACCACTTAAATTTTGCTATTAACTGAAATGTTTCTAATTTTTTTTTTCAAACTTTTCTTAATTTTGTATGAGTGATGAGTGAAAAAGCCTGAAAAAGAAGTATATAGTATATACAAAAATATACACCTAAACTTATATGTATAACGTTTTGGATATCCGGATATCCGATTGCAATAAGTAAAAATTTTCTTATTGTTAATAACAAATAATTTGTGTTTGTCGTTGTTTTGTAGATTATTTTCGAATATTGTATCTTGGTTTTAGATTTAAATGCAATGAAAACTTTTAGTATGAAATGCAAATAAATATTCGTATATAAAATGATTCCAATTAACAAAAGCAAGACAAGGCATCTTTAATAATAACAGTCTCAGTTGCGCGTCAGCGCACTGGGACTAAAAGAGAAAAGACAATATGAAAAGAGTATTATTTAAAGACTGTTGGTTGTAAAAAGAGTCTGCTTGAAATTCTTCTGTGGCACATACTCATTCGGTCATCGAGTAGTAGAGGCATTGCAAAATTTTTATCTGAAACAGAAAACCATAGTAAATGCGATGAAAAAATCGGTCTTAAACCTCATAATATCACCAACAACAACACCATATCCAAGGTCATGGCGCATATTGATTCATCCCAAAGAATGGAGTCGCATTATTGGAGGAGGGATTCCAGTAAGTTTTCAATTCCTGTTTCTTTTTTGTTTACAAAAAAGGAAACCGTAACCCTTGAAAAAATTTCATTCTTATGATCCACAAATCCCCATAATTCTATACAAATTCATTTGTATTGGATTATGTGCGGCTGTGGATCATAAATCCCCATAATTCGGCTGTGGATCATAATTCTATACAAATTCATTTGTATTGGATTATGTGCGGCTGTGGATCATAATTCTATACAAATTCATTTGTATTGGATTATGTGTGGCTGTGGATCATAATTCTATACAAATTCATTTGTATTGGATTATGTGTGGCTGTGGATCATAATTCTATACAAATTCATTTGTATTGGATTATGTGTGGCTGTGGATCATAGTTCTATACAAATTCATTTGTATTGGATTATGTGCGGCTGTGGATCATAATTCTATACAAATTCATTTGTATTGGATTATGTGTGGCTGTGGATCATAATTCTATACAAACTCATTTGTATTGGATTATGTGTGGCTGTGGATCATAATTCTATACAAATTCATTTGTATTGGATTATGTGTGGCTGTGGATCATAATTCTATACAAATTCATTTGTATTGGATTATGTGTGGCTGTGGATCATAATTCTATACAAATTCATTTGTATTGGATTATGTGCGGCTGTGGATCATAATTCTATACAAATTCATTTGTATTGGATTATGTGCGGCTGTGGATCATAATTCTATACAAATTCATTTGTATTGGATTATGTGCGGCTGTGGATCATAATTCTATACAAACTCATTTGTATTGGATTATGTGTGGCTGTGGATCATAATTCTATACAAATTCATTTGTATTGGATTATGTGTGGCTGTGGATCATAATTCTATACAAATTCATTTGTATTGGATTATGTGCGGCTGTGGATCATAAAAATGAAATTTGAAATCTGTTTCTTAATCATTGAATTTTTGTCTCTTTTTTTTATCAGTTCCTAATTTTCCTTATTTCTTTAAAACTCAAATACATTTTCCTACCTAATCTTTCAGTTTTAAATCCACAGTTAAGAATTACAAACCTTAAAAATTTAAGAACTTGTTAAGAACTAATTACATTAACTACAGTATACTGTAGTTAATAAATTTAATAAGTTAGTAAATTTAATAAGTTAGTAAAAAATTTAGTTAGTTAGTAAATTTAATAAGTTAGTAAAAAAATTTTTTTATAATTAAATTTTGCAAATATACTAGTATATTTGGAAAATTTAATTAAAAAAAAATTTTTTTAGAATATGGATAGTTTTAGTTTAGTCACTTGTTTTTATAGCTTTTTAAAAGATACACTATGTTGTCAAAATAATTTTTTACAGCATTGTGTCTTTTGAGTATTTCTTTTTTTTTTTTAAATGTTTAAAACATTGTTTGTGGTTGGCATAACTTCTCTCCATTAACCCTCAGTTAAGACAGCATACTGTTTATTAGGGTTGTTTTGGAAGGAAGCAACTCATTTGTAAATAACTTTTTTTAATAAGCATTTTTTATTAATTAAGAAATCAAGTTTTATTTTGCAATCACAATTATAAGTATTTTTTTACTTGAATTTTGATTACAAAAATGAATTTCAAAGTAGTTAATAAATAAAAATCATTCTGAAAATCATCTCAATTAAAGCAACAGCTTTTTTAGTGTGTGTGGCCTTTTACGATTGCAAAATAGAACTTAAATATATAAAACAGCCAAGAAAAACTGGATATAAGAACTAATTGAAAATGGTTTAAGCGATATGATTTAAACAACATCTTGTGGAGTTTTTAATGATTTGCTTTCTGCAAATCATTAAAAACTCCACAAGATGTTGTCGATGGACCTCACCAATAGATAAAATTATATCTATGAGTGCTTAGTAAAATGCTTTTACGCAAAAGGCATTCTGTAGTTTACATAGACACTTGTAAAGCTATCAAATATCTTGTTCATAGTATTTTCCTGAATCAAAAGTGTTTGTATGTAAAATGCATGTCAGGTGTTTAAAGAATGTATAATTTTGTGAAATAGGAGCACATGGTAGGTCTTTAATGCTGTATATTTCAAACATACTTGCTTGCTTACAAAAAAATGATTCATTTATTCAGCATGAACATAATAGACATACCACGTTTTCTCCAATTTTATAAAATATCGACTTTCTTACATTCCCAAGATACCAAAATATATATATGTTGATTCTATTTTGAAAAAGCTCACTCTTAACTTTTAAGAAACTCGTCGAACGGAAATCAAATTAGTTATCAGTAATAGGAGACATTAGATAAAAAATAAATAAGACACTTTTCTGTTAACAATTTTTATTGAAAACTTGCAACAAGTCTAATTATCCAGCACACCATAAATGTAATACAAATTGTTAAAGTATTGAGCTATAAAAACAATGCCTCTGATTCCTTATCCCACATTATTTTAAAAGCCTCTCTTAAATGAAAATGACATAATATACACAAATATTTAGGTTTAGAAAATACTGCATTTTAAGAATGAAAAAAGCAACAATCAAAGTGTCAACATATACGCAAGTTGCGACACCATTATTAAACTTTTCTACAAAAGACTAGAAAAATCGAGAACAATTTATGTACAGGGAAAAAACAAAAGTTATATTATTGGTTCTCTAGTAATTTTAAATTAAATTTTTTTGTTAAATTGATATCGTTAATATTACCTTGTTTATCAAATTTTTGATTTACGTTGCGTTTAATTTTCAGAAATTTTATTATCATAGTATTATACGATGATGACCATTATACTGTACCCCCGTATTGCAAACAATTTGAGAAAAACTTTTTGCTCAGAAATGATATAAATTGAGGACTATGGCGTGACAATAAACAAGAAAAGAAAAGCCGACAAAGTACGAAAACAAGCATAAACTAAAGTGAATTTTAGAAGAAAAAAATGTCAAAAGCACCAGCGATTGGAATCGATCTTGGAACAACATATTCTTGTGTTGGAGTTTTTCAACATGGGAAAGTTGAAATAATTGCTAATGAGCAGGGAAATCGTACAACTCCAAGTTATGTCGCTTTCACCGACACCGAAAGATTAATTGGGGATGCAGCAAAGAATCAAGTCGCCATGAATCCGTCAAATACAGTATTTGGTAAGAGTCGCGCTAGTTATGTTTTTCTTTTTTCTTTTTAAATATAGATAAGCGAGCAATGCTTTAAGGACCTAACATCAAATATGTATACAACGGTTGCAAGTTTATGATAAAAAAAAAAATGACATAAAACGGTTTTTTTTTTTATTTTTTTTATAGATGCAAAAAGATTGATAGGAAGAAAATTTAACGATCCGTCGGTTACTTCGGACAGGAAACATTGGCCTTTCAATGTGAGTTTATTAATGTTTGTGATTTTATATTACTCTCTTGGGCGTTTCTTGGATTCTATTTTTTTCCCGAAGACTAATGCATTTTCAACGTTTTCCTCCCAAAAATTGTAACTTTTTTTTTAGGTTATTGATGAGGGGTCTAGACCAAAGATTCAAGTTGAATTTAAAGGAGAAACTAAATCTTTTTACCCCGAGGAGATATCATCTATGGTTTTGCTTAAGATGAAGGAAATTGCAGATGCTTATCTCGGCAAAAAAGTCACAGATGTTGTAATTACTGTACCAGCTTACTTTAATGATTCGCAAAGGCAAGCGACTAAAGACGCTGGAGTTATTGCCGGACTGAATGTCTTACGTATTATTAACGAACCAACTGCAGCTGCTATTGCTTACGGCCTCGACAAAAAAGTAGGAAAAGAGAAAAACGTGCTTATTTTTGATTTAGGCGGTGGAACCTTTGATGTTTCCATACTTGCCATAGAAGATGGTATATTCGAAGTAAAATCGACTGCAGGCGACACTCACCTTGGTGGAGAAGATTTCGACAATCGTCTGGTAAACCATTTTGTTGAAGAATTTAAACGAAAGCATAAAAAAGACATTTCTAGCAACAAAAGAGCTCTTCGACGTCTAAGAACAGCTTGTGAAAGAGCCAAGAGAACGCTTTCAGCGAGTACACAAGCAAGCGTTGAAATTGACTCACTGTTTGATGGTATCGATTTTTACACGTCGATTACTCGAGCACGTTTTGAAGAGTTATGCATTGATTTGTTTAGAGGTACTCTTGGCCCCGTTGCTGATGCAATTAGAGATGCTGGAAAAAACAGCAGCGGTCAAAACTTTTCCAAGTCTGATATCCACGAGGTTGTTTTGGTTGGCGGTTCTACTCGCATTCCAAAAGTACAAAGTCTTCTCCAAGAATTTTTCAACGGAAAAGAACTTAACAAATCCATTAATCCGGACGAAGCTGTAGCCTATGGTGCTGCCGTTCAAGCAGCCATTTTGGCTGGCGATAAACATGAGGCCGTTCAGGATCTTTTACTTCTTGATGTTGCTCCTCTATCACTTGGAATCGAGACTGCTGGAGGGGTATTTACTCCATTGATTAAGAGAAACACTACTGTTCCAACGAAGTATTCTCAAATATTTTCTACGTATGCTGATAATCAACCCGGTGTACTAATTCAGGTTTTTGAGGGTGAAAGAAGCATGACAGCTCATAATAACTTACTTGGTAAATTTGAGCTTTCTGGAATTCCACCGGCTCCTAGGGGGGTCCCTCAAATTGAAGTAACCTTCGATGTCGATGCCAATGGCATTTTAAATGTTTCCGCGATGGACAAGAGCACAGGAAAAGAGAATAAGATCACTATCACAAATGATAAAGGTCGTCTTTCTAAAGAGGATATCGAAAGAATGGTCCAAGAAGCAGAAAAGTACAAAGCCGATGACGATCTTCAGCGAGACAGAATTCAAGCGAAAAACTCTTTGGAAAGCTACTGTTATAATATGAAGCAAACTGTAGAAGACGAAAAAGTTAAAGGCAAAATTAGCGAAGAAGATAAAAAAACGATTCTTAAAGGTTGCAAAGAAACAGTGGAGTGGCTTGATAAAAATCAAGTAAGTTATTCGTTGTTGTTTATTTTTTTGTCATAACTAGGGTCGGCTTTTACGGAGGAGAATACAGAACCGAAACTGTACAAATAAATTTTTTATTATTACTATTATTTTTTTTATTGTGTTCTCCGTAAAAGCCAGACGTCTGGCAACCCTAGCTCATAATTATGATTTTAATAGCTTTAACAAATCGCAATATTGTATTGACTTTTTTTTTCTTACATACGTAGACTGCCGAAAAAGACGAGTTCGAACACAAACAAAAAGAGCTTGAGAAAGTATGCAATCCTATTATTACAAAACTTTATCAAGCTGGCGGTGTTCCAGGAGGCATGAATGGCGCCATGCCTGGAGGTATGCCGGGTGGCTCTTACAAACCTAGTTCTAGTGGACCAACTATAGAAGAAGTTGATTAAGAGTATTGATTTACTTAGTGCATAATAAAACTTTTTTTTTTATTGTTTGTACGATATTTGTAAATACTTTTAACGCATGTATATTTTATAGAGTTAATAAAAATGACATTTTTTTAAATGATGCTGTTTTCCTCCGTGTCACAGTTTAATTTCCATAAATGTAGAGGGGGGAGTTCTGGGGTTCGGGTTCACAAAACCCAAAAACAAACTTTTTAGATTTTGTGTAGTTTAACCACTTAATTATTTTTATGCTGGTTTCAAATTGCTTAATTTTTTTTTTTTCATAACAAATACTTTTTCTTCTACTTCAAGTTCAATAAAAATGACTATTTTAACAAAACAATCAATGGTTAAATTAAATGAAATCATTATTATTATCAAAGTACAATCCATATTAAAAATTTATCTTTTCGTTTCATCAATAAAATACTTAATCATTATGTGTAGCTGTAAATACAACAAAAATAGTCATTATACATGATATATGATATGATACATGATTAAGGAACAATTTGTCACAATTACTAGTGAAAATGAAAAATAAGTATACCAATCAGTATACCACGGATGCTTCATAGCATCCGTGGTATACTGATTGGTGTTCTTTCTCAGAATAAAGAGGTTTGATGTCGGCTCTGGCCAGATAATCGACATTGGTAAGAAAGGAGGCGTGAACTTCCTAGTTAAGTTGATCTTTCACGGTGCTTTGTGGTAAGACCCTTAGTTCCTCTTGGTGTACCTTAACAACAACAAAAAAATAAAAAAACTCACCGTTGGTGATTGGTGGAATGTTGTGAGGACTTTTCAAGAAGAAACTTTAAATATTTTAGCTTATTTTTCTGTAGACGTTAAACGGCATTTTTTTGTATTTTTATTAACAATTATGATTTTAAATATCTTTTCTGCAATTATCTAATGTATTACTAAAATAAATATTCCATTCATGAACTGATTTTGACATTAAACAGATCTTTCTATTTTTCAATGTATTTATTGACACCTGATTTGCAAGTAAAAGAGCTGCCTTGTTATTTTAAACAAGCTAAGATATAAATTCTTTTGGACGCCTAATGTAAAGTTACAGTTCTTTTTTTGCTAACCCGCTCTGTCTCAGTTGTTTCTGTCACTGGTTCCAATTTTAATATTTTCAAATTTTTTAACAATGAGACACATTTGCCGAAATTTACCTCTTTTTTTTTTTCTATTTTTGCAATCGACGGTATTTCCGAAGCCGGTTGCAATGAGTGCCACGTTGGCACTTAAGTTTAATATTATTTGAGTTTGTTTTATGAATTCCAAAAACTTGATTAAAAACGTAATACATTAGTTATTCCATTATTGTATCTTTTTCCGAACCCATAATACTTTTCTATTTTCTGTTAAAGAAATATAGCATTTTGCAAAACTGTATATTTTTAAAAAATATTTGCAAAGAATAAGACAATCATCCAAGTTTATTGATGTGCATTAACGAACTGCGATATATATATATATATATATATATATATATATATATATATATATATATATATATATATATATATATATATATATATATATATATATATATATATATATATATATATATATATATATATATATATATATATATATATATATATATATTATATAAAGGGTTTGATTGTTTGAAAAAATACAACTTTGTGATGGAACTTAAAGTTTCATGCCTTTCGGCAATCATCAGCCATATTTTATTCTTTAAATTAAGAAAAAACCGTTAAAAAATACAAAATACAGAAATCAACAGAAAATATTCATAACAAAGCAAAGAATGTATTGTGACGTCAAAACAAACAATTTTTTAATTAATTAGAAAATTGCTCAATCACCCGTGTCGAATAGGGCAAGATGGAACTTGGTTTAATGCCTTCACTTGGATACCATTTCACTTTTTTTGTTTAGCAGATTTTTATTTTTGGAAAATAGAATTTCATATTTTTCGTATGTGCATAGTTTGCAGGACTTTGTGGCTGGGTTGTAAGCATTGCACTGCCTAATTATTTTCCATTTGACAACTGGGTTTAAGTTGGCATCTTTTAATTTCCAAAATTCTTTTGATAATTTGATGTCATTTTTATATTTTAGAATGTTAAATGATTTTATATGGTTGGCATATCTAATTTTGAATGGTGTTTCACTTATACCGATGTAGGATTTGTTGAAAGGAGTGTTAGTAGGGATTTTGGAACTTATATTGGCTTGGTATACAATGTTTTTTGTTAAGCATTGGTTTGGTAAAGGGCAGGTATTTTTATTAAGGCAATTGCAGTTGGTTTTAGGTGGAATTTTGATGTTGTTCGTAATTTGTTGATTGTGTGCATTTAAAAAATTTCATATTCGGCATACTGCTATAACTTATTTTTATCGTGTTTCTGTTAAAAATTTTATGGAGGCTGTGATTTATTGGGAAGTGTTTGTTTATTAAGGTTAAAAAGCTTTTTTCTACATTAGTACTAACATTTTTTCTGAAAGGAGGGTTGAACTATATGATGTTTCGTTTAAAACATGGTTTGGTATGTGGTAAATTTAAATTAGGGTGATGAGAAAGTTCGTGATTAAAACCGGATCTTAATAGCGCGTCATTGTACATAGGAGTAGATCTTCGGAAAATTTCTTTACTTGAAGAATTTGCAGACAATCTTAACTCAATTGAATGCGGAAGCTGTTTTAGAATATTATTCGGGTGGTTTAAATCAGCATGAAATAGTTTATAGAATTCCCGGGCTTAGAATATGGTTGAAAAGTATTGTCGTTGAGATTTGATGTGACGTCAAGATAATTTATAATTTTCATGTTGTACTGTATTGATATAGTGAGTTCGTTTTTTTTAAATATTCAACAAAATGTTTTTTGATTTTTTCCATTTGGGGATCACTCATTTTTTTAAAAACTGCTAAACCATCATCGCGGTAAAATCCGAAATTATTTTTATCATAAAACTGTGCAATTTGAAGCAAAATATAAATTCCCAAGGTTACAAACTTCAGCACCATCATTTAAACATCGAATAAACCGCTTGATTTTTTAATCCAAACTTGATCAACGTTAAATAATAATGATTTTCTTGCAAGATAACCATAAAATTTTGAACCTAACTATAAAACATGATAGATCAATGTTTTATAGTTAGGGTCAATGTTTAGATGCTGCTCAGCAAAATGAATAGCGTTATTAAGATTTTTCAGATATCAAAGGGTAAAAATCAACAATATCAAAAAAAAGGAATTTATAAAGGCATTTATCACTAATGCGATTAAACCAGTTTGTGGTATCTTGGGTTTTTTTTCACTGATTGAGATAAAGTTTCTTTACAAATTCAGAGCTTGTATTAGAAAGTATAACTTTACTAATTCTGCCGATTTCATATTTGCCAGGGTTTAATAAACGGACAGTTGGATTATTTGTAAAGTTTTCTTTATGAACTTTTAATTTTATAAAACAATTTGAAGATGTGTTAATGTCGATTTTATTGAAAACGTCGTGATTTTTTAATATCCGTTTACCTTCTTTATTTATTTGAATTTTTATTTTTGTATTCGATTTTTTGTAAGTTGAGGGTATTATTTTCTTTAGATATATTATGTAAACAGGATGTTTTATCGGAAAAAGTAAGTTTTCTATTGCGTATGGTAGATATGTCATCTTTTAACCTGTCTTGGAAATTATTGTATACTTTACAAAATTTAATGTTTTTTATAAGATCTATCAGATCGTTTTCAAATGTAGACATATCAGAAACTTGTTTGGGATAACTTGATGTTTTTATGCCGTAATTGTTATAAATATATATATATATATATATATATATATATATATATATATATATATATATATATATATATATATATATATATATATACAGGGCCGCCAAGAGGGGGGGGGGGCAATTGAAGTAGTTTGCCCCGGGCATCACAGTCTATGGGGCATCACATGCCTTAAAAAAAGAATCGTTGAAATGATAAAAAATTTAGCTGATAACGTATTTAAAGATTAAGCAATTTTTGTGTATTAATTTCTTTCTCCTTTTAAACTTTGTTTGCATTTAGAATAGGATAATTATTACTTTACAAAGTTTTCATTATCCATTTGAACGCACGCATTTTCATTGGCCTTTTGTTTGCATAATAAAATAAAAAGCGTTAAAATTTTTTTTTCTTATTTAACGTTTGTAAAAGCCAAACTTCTAATAGTTTAACTTATTTTTGCCTAAACCTTGCGTCCCTGTGGATACTTTTGTGCATATGTATGTTTTTGACTCGCTGCATTTTGTTCCAACTATTTTTTGACAAAAAACTTATCTTCAGTGGATATTTTAATTGTAAGTACTGACCTTTTCTCTGCAATTAATAACACCAAAGAATTACAAAGTTTTTAATTTTTAAATTTTAAAAAGTTAAAATTCTTTATATCGTCATAAGTTTTAGCATGAATAATTAAAGACCTCCACGATTGAAAAAGCTGTCTGGAGCTGCTAGGAGAAAAAGAGCGATGATTCGGAAAAAAAATGAAAGCAAAAACAAACGAACGCTTTTAGATTGCGTTCGTTGGACAAAAATCGAAGATAAATGCAAGCAGGTAGTTAAACTATTTTTAAATGTGACGTTCATGAAAAAATAATTAGAATAATTTTGTTTAATACTTCTTTATAGTTCAATGATATTGAGATAGGTATCAATGACTCTAATGAGTTGCCAGACCATAATTCCGACAAACTTTTTCTTGCCGATGACATCGATGACTCCCAAAAAACATCATCACATTTAAAAAAGGATCAGTTGCATTTTGTACTTGATTGCCACAATGACCAACAAATTTATAAAAGTGATCTTTCTATACCAATCTCTAACGATCCTGCACTATGGAAATCAATATCAGACACTGATCGAACGAATATAATTCTGATGGGACCTTCTTCAAATCCTAGCAATTTTCCAAGAGATCAAAAAGAACGCAAATTCCCTATTTATATCTTTTTAGAGGAACAAAGAGTCGGAGAAAAAGTTTGAAGAGATTGGCTCGTTTGGAGTAAGGATGTGGCATCACTCTTTTGTTTCCCTTGCTCCCTTTTTGGATCGCCTATTTTAACCAGACCCGGTGTTCAATCCAGTTTGCTGTCTTGGAATGGAGGTATACATGGAAATATGAGAAAACTTTCAGATCGCGTTAAAAGTCATCACCAAAGCGATTTTCACCGTAACTGTTATCTCCAATGGAAAACAGCTACGATTCACTTGAAAAGTCAAAAGTCCATTTAGCATCAGTTAGAAAAACAAATTGGAGATGAAACAAAGCGATGGAAAGTAATTTTACAACGCATTCTTGACGTCACAATTTTCCTAGCTTCAAGAAACTAGGCTTTTAGAGGTAAGAATATTGTTTTTAAATTTTAAATTATATTTTGCATTATTTTATTTGTAATTTAAAAATCAAAATTACAAGTTTTAATTGGATATAAATATGGATTACTATTTTGATTATTTTTTGTTTGTAATTAGGATCCAATCAAAAGTTGTTCAAAGATGGGAAACTTCCTTGGAGCGCTCGAATTAATTGCTCGCCACAACAAAACATTACAAGATCATATGAACTCGAAGCTGCAAAAAATTCTCTAAAAGTTAACAAAGCACCAGGGATTGATGAGATTTCTAGCAACGTAGTAATAAGTGTCTTCCCGGTGATACGCAAACCCATATTCGAAATTTTTAAATCTTCAATTACAACAGGAACTGTTCCAGACAAATTAAAAATTGCAAAAGTTGTACCAATATTTAAATCCGGAGAGCAATGCTCACTTAATAACTACAGACCCATCTCAATCCTTTCTGTCTTTTCTAAACTTCTAGAACGAATAGTTTACAATAAACTATATAAATACCTAACTATTAACAATATTTTGAATAATAAACAATTCGGATTTCAAAAACAACATTCAACCGAACATGCGATTATAGATCTTGTAAATAAAATAAATGACTCTTTTGATAATAACAAATTTGTTCTAGGAATCTTTATTGATCTATCGAAAGCATTCGATACTGTTGATCATGCTATACTACTTAAAAAAATGGAAAAATATGGCATTAAAAATGTTGCTTTACATTGGTTTGAGAGCTTTCTTATAAACAGACAGCAATGTGTTATTATGGATAAAAATACCCATTCAAAATTACTTAAAATAAAATGCGGAGTTCCCCAAGGTTCCATTCTAGCTCCCCTACTCTTCTTGCTATACATCAATGATCTTCCAAAAGTCTCAAAAAAACTTGATGCCATAATGTTTGCAGATGATACAAACTTATTTTATTCATCTACTTCTATCGCAGAACTCTTCGAAACTGCAGGTATTGAACTTGAAAAACTTAATACTTGGTTTAAATCAAACAAATTATCATTGAATACAGAAAAAACCAACTACATTCTATTTCACACCAATCAAAGGAAAAAATCTATACCAATTCCATTACCGTCTCTAAAAATAGAAAATAAATTTATCGAAAGAACCAAAGCAACAAAATTTTTAGGAATACTTATCGATGAGAATATTTCATGGAAAGCTCACATAAACTTATTAAATACCAAAATAAGAAACAACATTTGCATGCTTTACAAAGCTAGACCCATGCTACCCCAAAAAAATTTAAAGCTACTTTATTTCTCCTTCATTCAAACCTATTATACGTATGGTAATATAGCATGGGCAAGTACTCATAGATCCAACCTAGTGGCACTTTATCGACATCAAAAACATGCTGCAAGAATAGTATTTAATAAAGATAAATTTACTCATGCCGAACCTTTGCTAAAGCTTCTAAATGCACTAAATGTCTACAAAATTAACATTTACCAAAATTTGATATTCATGCTCAAATATAAACTCGGACTTGTCCCATTACATTTTTCAGAAGAATTTTTTAAATGCAATAGAAATAAATATGAAACTCGAGGAATAGGAAATTTTAAAGTACCATATAAAAAAACAAAACTATCACGTTTCTCCATCTCCTATCGCGGCCCTTACCTCTACAACAAACTAATAGCTAAAAATACTATAATTACAAAACTACTTAACCATAATTCTCTGAAAACACTTTTAAAAAAACTTGTTCTAAACTTAAACAATTTTACAAACGTATATTAAAACAAATAACTAAAAACCCCTAAAAAATCCACTTTAAAGCAAAGTAAATGTTAGATTTTATTTATATTTCGTACATGTCAATATACTAAGTATAACAAACCATGTAACTATATATTTATGTGTATCAAATACAGCTCTTTTCCGTTTTTTGTTTTTGATTATCTAGTAGCTTTTTATGTGTGACTCTTATGCCACCATAAGACTTTGACAAACTGAAATTTCTTAATAAATTAAGTATACAAAATATCGCAACTAAAAGCGGTTTCTTGATGACAAGATCAAAATGGTCTTCTGCAAGTTTCCCGCGTCTTTTAACAGTGTTACTTTTTTATATATATTATTATTTGTATTAAAAAAAGTTTTCTTATTATATGTACGGTATTTTTTTTATACAATGTAAACGAACTAGTTTATATTTATGATCACGTATTTGTAAAGCTTTGATAAAAGACAAAAAAAAAAAAAAAAAAAAAAAAAAAAAAAAAAAAAAAAAAAAAAAAAAAAAAAAAAAAAAAATATGCAAGAAGAAGAGAGAAAAAGAAAGAAGAAGAAAAAAAGAAGAAAAAAAACGCATGCAAGCTCTTTATTTATCCTGGAAATCACAAAATGAATTTATCAAGGAATGCGGCAAGTTAGTGGTTCGAGAAGTTATTCGAGAAATCAAAAAATCAATATATTTCACCATCAGCACAGACAGCACTCCCGATTCGTCCCACAGCAAGCAAATAAGTTTTTTTTT